TTAAGTGAAAACAGACATAGGTAAGAAATTCTCAGTACCGCACATTTTTGTACCTGCAGTCGCTCTTGAATACATGGCAATGGTAATGCTGAGGTGAATGCATTTCCTTTTCCTTTTGAATAACATTACTGAAAACTTAAAGACTATCACCCTCAAGCGACCTGCATATTTTATTCTCAAGAACTCCAGGCTCTCCAGGACAGAATAAAACACTCAGCCAAAATATGAGACACAAACTACCAACTACCACAGAATTCTGTTATTTCCGTTTTTTAATCAATGTCAAACATTGCATATCTTAGTTATAACAGAAAGCCTAGGCCACGCAAAGTGGAGCCTCACAAAGTTTAAGAAGGTTTAGGAGTTGAGTACTCCAGGGAGACTATGAATAGCTTGTTTCTATGGACAAACTTAGCCCGGCTCGGAGCCTCTAGTTTGTCATATTACTTCTAAAAGCATCTTTACAGTTCATGTTGACTGGATTCAGTTATACAGCCCACCTGCATGTGAGCAACCCGTCGCCACACCATTTACCCACAATGAACCCTACTATCAACAGATGACCTTTTAATAGGATACAAAGACACTGCTTCTTAACCTTAACTTGATTTTGAGGAGTGGAATAAAATGTTTGTATATTTGAGTTATGTAAGCAACTGATACATAAAGTCGCCAGTGGGTAGTTTAAAAGTAAAATGAAAGCGTAAAGAGAAAGTTTGAGCTCACTTACAGTAAAAAGCTGCGATGTGAGTATGAAAGAGAGGATAAGTCCACAGATCGAAGTGGTCAGAGTGCCCATTTTCCACCGACCCAGCACAGGCTGTAAATGCTGGGGGAAAGGGGGGAATACGAGGGTCCTTCACGCCTCCTGGCCACTGGAACGGTGCACCTATTTCAGACTTTTCTTCTAGAAACCCGACTGCTCCTCTGCGTCCCACGCCCGGTGGGACTTCATTAACAGGTAAAACGGATCCCTTGTCGTGTTTTTCTCTCTTTTTCTTTTCAAAAAGATTACGCAAATAAAAAAAGATCGACACTATGGGGCTTCTTCTCCCTTGCACTCCGAAACTTGGGACTTGTGGTGGGTTGAATGCAGCCTTGCAAAGTCAATGGGAAGTCCTGTGCGGAGAGTGCGCTGCCGAAAAGTAAAAGGCGGAATGGAATTCGTGGAGTGCTCAAAGAGAGCACAACTAATACCACTGTGGGGAGACGTCGCCGAGAATAAAGTGTGTGGTGGTGGTGAAGGACGTTTTTAAGTCTTTACTCGAACAAAAGTAGCAAAGCACCACTGTTCCAATACTTTAGTATCCTGCAAGTAAAAATCCAAAAGTATTCCGGGTAATCTGTAAGAGTGCAGAAATTACTTTACTTTGCAAAAGAACGAATTCGGCACAGTGGCTCAGTGACAGGCTTTGATACTGAAGTGGAATTTTGAATGGGTAATTGTAGGACTGATTTGATCAATTGTTGGAAAATTCAGTTAAAATGTAATATAAAAATGAAATTCTAAAGTACATTAAAACTGTTTACTGACCATCTGATTCGTGTTTAAATGAGGACAAGTGTAACAGCGTAGTTAATTATTATTTTATTATAACACATATGAGTTACTTTTTGTTTATTTTTAAACAAATTATCCAGAAATAAGTAACAAGTTTCAGGAACAACACCTAACCTAAAGGGATCTGTTATTTGTCTTTACCTACTGGGTGACATGCTAGTGCTTCACTT